TATATATATATATATATATATATATATATATATATATATATATATATATATATATATATATATATATATATATATATAAGAATGTATAAAAAAAATTTTCCATTGGAGCTTTGAGTACATTGGACGAATGCTTGCGCTTCTTGGCGAAATTTCGGAAATATCAAAAATATCTTTAACCAGTTTTGATAAATGCTTTGATGAAGTAATTTGTCTGTTAAAATGATAAAGAATTGCTTTTAAATCTTGCTTATACAAATCTGATGTCATTAGTGAATAATACTATATAAATAATACTATATAAATCGTAAATAATACTATATAAATAGTTTACAAATATCATTTAAAATTTCTTAATTAATTTATAATTTTTAGCTCTATCATATATTTATTATGCTTTTGTCATATCTACATTATCACTAACTTGTTATCACATCTCCACTACCATTAACTGTTATCATAGCTATACCATTATTACTAACTGTAATATTTGCAATGTTATTAACCATTATCATATCTACACTCATGCAATATTACTAACTATTATCATATCTGCTCTATTATCAATTTATTATCATACCTGTGCTATTATCAACCATTATCGCATCTGTATCTTCTCCATTATCAACTATTATCATATTTGCATTTATAATATTATCAATTCAAAAATAACTTCAATGATTGTTTTATTATTTCTTTTACTTTTTACATATAATTTGTTCTATCCATTCATCATTACTATTTGATTATATTACACCACGTAATTGTTCAAATATTACCGCTTATTATGATTCATTAAATTTACAATGTCGTAATTGTAATAACAATAGGATTGCTAGTCCCAATCATTTACACTGTATTTGTCCATCAGATACCATTTCAACTTCTGATGGTACTTGTTTAAAATGTATATAACACTATGAATTGGTAAGCAATGATAAATGAGTTATACAAAAAGCAAGTAATATGATCAACTAACAAACTCCTTGCCTCTGAGTAAAAACTTCCTCAGTAATAAGAAATCATTGAAAAGTCCTGCAGAGCTTTTTAGTTTTGCAAATTCAGCAGAGTTTTTAGCATTTATTTATCTACCTGAAATGAATGAACAATGAAGTGATATCTAAGCAATGTTCATTCTAGACCCAAGGGAAGGAAATCCACAGTTGGAACATGTTTTGGCAGACACACGAAATCATCACATTGCCGGTCAAAGTTCAGCATGTCAACAAGATCGCTCGAATGACGAGTATCCCTCAGTAAAATTTAACATCTTGGACTATCCCAATGATGACATCTTCAACTATCTTAGCATCCCCGACGATGTTGTTGTTAATATCGAAGATATTAACATCGACAACTCTAATGGTAATATCTTCGAATGTTAGCATCGTCGACGATGGCAACTTCCTCGACGACTTCAAAATATTTTGCCATCAATGAAAACTGTCTGCTTGCAGTATATCAAAATTATTTATCTCTTCTCTCCGTAAAATTTATTTAGTAAGTAAATAGTTTTTATAAAAAATAAATAGTTTTAAAAAATAAATAGTTTTTAGCTCTATCGTATATTCATTATGCTATTGTCATATCTTTATGCTATTGTCATATATTGATTAATTCAAATTAGTTCACTTTAAATTGCAAAAATGACAACAGTAGTCATTTTATCCCTAGTTTTTTTTTTTAATTACCAAAAAAGCTTTCGTTTTCA